AAACGTAAAAAGGACTCAACAGCGATTTTTCTAAAAACTGCAAGGCCTTCTATTCGCTCCGTCTGAACCGGAAATCCGGCCGGAATATAGCCTCTTGTTCGTCTTGTTTCGCGGAAGCGATGACAACGAACACCTGCTGTGTTTCCGATGTGGTAGCCTAATTAGATTACCTACCATACCCCTTAGCGCTAATCCTCACTTATTAGGAGATATAAATTACACAATTGTTCAGTTGGTGGCATGAACTTAATTTCATTTGTTAGGAAATAGGTTGTTTTTGATCGTGGTAGTTGGATGATATTATAAGTTTGTTCTATTGTCTCACGACAAGGTCACTTGATGTTGAACGTAACCTTTCGACTACTTACTGCATGTCTTCATCCGGTGACGGGGTCGACTGGTTGTGGCACGACGTTATGTATCATGGTGGTCTGTTGTGATTAGTGCATTTCGATCCGGCTATCATTCCATGTACCATGGTTTCCTCAGGCGTTCGCTGATTTTTCGTGCGTCGTTGGTTTAGATGTTTTCTTATTGTAGGCATCCACGCTTCCGGTATTTCGGTTCCGTTGTCCCTGTTTATGTTATTTGGGTTGAGTCTATCTTTCCCTTTCCTTGTGTACCAATGGCTTTCTCGGTCAATAAATTTAGTTTCGTTCCATAGTGGCTTGTGTCCGGTTCCGTTGGCATGTTCTGAGTGCGTGTGATTCGTATATCCCTGTCGTGCTCTTTCATTCTTTCTTGCATGAGTCGTCCTGTCTCCCCGATGTCGAACAGACAAGAGACCACCATGATACATAATGCCGTACCACAATCAGTTGATCCCATCGCCTGAGGAAGAATTGCAGTAAGCAGTCGAAACGTTAGGTTTCCACATCAAGTGACCTTGTCGTGAGACAACAGAACAAACTTTATTTCATTTATATTGAAGTTTGCTAACACGCTTACTTTCAGATGAGTTTCAAAAGCGAACGCCCTTACAACTTTTTAGGCAGTAATCTGATGACCCTGCCGACGGTAATTCTCGATGCAATTAATACTATAAACGCTGTCTATGTCGATAAGGGAAGTAGTCGACCACCATCACATAGGTGCATAAAACATATGTACAGGAACTCGGCGGTAGGTAGGGTCCTCGTAATCTATATAAAACCTCGACACGAAGGTCGTCTTAACTAAACCATATTTGTAACACATGGGTGCGTTCTTCCAAAGAATGACAAATTGAGGGGCACTCGACAAGGACTAGGTATGTAACAACTGCCGTGCAGTTTGATATAGAATTTGCAGTGTATCATGGGAAAACTACTTACTTCGATCTAATTTTTTTTCCGAAATATTTATGTTATTTAATGCAAGGGCTTTTAAATTGTGAGAGGCTTAGAGTTGTATTGCACGTCACACTTAATTTTGCAAGGGCCAACCGACAATTGGCTAAGTCATTAAGCATCTAAGCTGGCACAATCTTCCTCTAAGACATTTTCGATAAAATCAAAACTTTAAGCTCTGTCTCTTGTAAAAAGAAATTCTTAGGTCGCACGATTTGACAGCAAAAGAGACTTCTTTGTTGTTTTTTCATCGCACATATGCATTTCTTATTCACATATCGCAAAGTGACATCCACTTTCGTCAGTTCTTATGGGGAGAGCGGCGGAGTCGGTTTAAAAGGCAATTAAATAAGAAGAACGAGTAGAATCAATATTCTCCTATCAGGTTTGATAAAAGCTTACCCAGAGACATTTTCCTCATCACTTTCTGACATTTTCTTTCTTTCTGTTGGTCCACACCAAAAACAAACGATTTTTGTGCAGCTGTACACGGTATATAAGGTGATCGAAGAGTATTTGGTGTATGACTATGGCTGTTTTAAACAGTTAATTGAGTCGGTAGAATAATCTGTGGCCGTGTTTTCACGTCACCGGATTAAATTATGGTTCATTAGAGGAGCACGCGCTCATTTAAATCAATTTGTTAGAGTTATGGCGGTAGATGCAGATGGTGTTTGCGTGTAACAAAATACATATGCCATTAAAGGTATTATCAGTGCTAGTTGATCAAATCAGGTAAGGTCAATGGTGGGGGCTAGCGCTAAAGAGAAAAATCTCCAGAGGTTGGCATCCCTGTAATTGCATTGAATATTTCCAATTGCTTTGCCTTTAAACGAGTGGGGAAAGCGGCTGTGTCCTTGAGATTCCGGATATCAGTGGTTAAACTACTTAAAAACTCTTTCGTGAAAGTACGGCCGGTGCTTGTCAGCAGAATTTGAGAGAGTTCAATCCATAATTACATGATAACAAATAAGATTTCTTAGGGTCAACTTTAATTAATATAATAATCCCATAGCTCCTTTCCATTACTGCACTGTAATGTATATAAAAAATATAATTGCATTGCAACATTCACAGTTACTCATGGAAATGACGAAAAACAGTCTGTCGTTTTTAGGCCTCTAGTCTACCATGTGATGAGTACTTTAAAACACTCAATAAGAGCATTTATCTTCATTTTAACCCAGTTTCGTGACTCTCGAAACTAATCGAAACAGACTCTCGCGATACGTGGAAGATAAGCGACATTTTCGCTATTTAATGACAAATCCCTTAATTGAGAACTAAATCTATCTCGACCTCTGTCTCTACACAATACACAGTTCTCATCACCTCGCACCTCTTTGAATAAAGGTTGGCCCAAAAATTTTGTTTATATCCAGTTAAGATTTAATGCATTCTTTTCTTGTCACGGAAGCGTGGTGTCTGTCCAACAAACTTTCAGTGTTCTCTTCTAACATTTTAAAAAGGAAAGCAATATCAAAATATTTTATGCGCCATTTTAACCGCGTTTATGTCCTCTCTGCATGTGACTCACCAAAGACTGGCTAAAGTAATAAGCATTTTAACGGCGCCCCGTGGTGATCATTCTCGATAAAAAAAAGACCAGAAGTGCCGCCTTTATGGCGACAAGGAAAGTTCTTGAATTCCACGACACTGATGTATATATAAAAAAAAAACAAAAAAAAAAAACATGCGAATGCACTTCAGTTAGGTACTTAAAACATCGACAGTAAGTGAGAGTCTTACCACTTCTTTGAAGTGCATAAATCCAAAGAATTACACCAAAAGATTTAAACCAAAAGCATTATAGTGAGAGGCACTCGACAAGGAATTGGTATGTAACATCTGGCCGTTTGGTTTACGAGCTGTAAAGTATAAAACTTACTCCTAAACGGTGCTCAGAGCTCATTGATACTTTTTCAAAAATAGAGCCTATCGTGAAACATTTTTTCGTTTTTAAAAGCTGCAGCTTTTCAATTTGAAAATGATGAATGTCTTACCAACTATTAACCCATGGAGTTTGTAAGCAACACAAATCTTGGAAATAGAAAGAACCTTCAAAAAATCCAGTCTATATAATCACATCTGCAAGGAGCGGAAGTCCAACTCCGGACGTTTCAGAATATTTCAGTGATGATTTAGAATAAAGAACAATCAGTTTGTCGGATACGATCGTGCTAGCATTTAATGTATTTTTTCCAAGTTTGGTAGAATTTCCATTTCCAAACTCAGTCGGCTGGGTCAATCGTTTGATTGGAAAGATTATTTTAAAATGAGCAATTTCAGTTTCGAATTCGCATATCCTTGGGGAAACGGGAATGGCAAGTCAGTGTCGAGTCAATGGTAAGTTAGGTCAACAGCTATTGTCAGTTTTTTTAATTTGCCTTCCTAATAAGTATCATGTGAATATTTGCTGATTCATCGTCCATCGTGCCGAATATCGTCTGGTTTAAGATTTAAAAACGAATTGTTAAGTCCTTCATACTCCATTTTTTCACTAAAAAAAATGGTGCTTGCCTTCATGTTGCTACCAAAAGCATGGTGATGCTTACGACCCTGAAATCGGTCGTTGCATCGTTTTGCAACGGGAAAGACAAAGCGTGATTTCTTGATTGGGGTTGACTTGATGCATCGTTTTGCAACGGGAAAGACAAAGCGTGATTTCTTGATTGGGGTTGACTTGATGCAGTTAGATCTGAGGATTATCTTCTGCTATTTCATTGGGACAAACGGGATTCAAGCGCTTTGAATTATAGGTTTTTGGTTAAACATAAAGTCTGAATAGAACGAGGAAATAATTCTATAATAATTCAAAGACACATATTGGCATTCCACTTTAGTTTTCAATACAAGACTCTGAGTTAAATCGACCACTGCAAGAAATACAACAATCCGATAGTTTGAATTGCCCCTACTGACTGAGGGGGACAATTTCATGCAGCACAGAACACGGCGCCAAACTCAGTCCTTTGCCTATCAGCTTTCCAAAACACGACTTTTATTGGCCATATCGAAAGAAATCCAACTGGAGTGCAGCTGGTTATTGCATTTTGCGTGGCCTTAGAATTCAAGTGAATTCAAGCTGTCAGCAACCAGCTAAATTTACAAAGCAAATGTGAAACAATTTGTAATGAAGAATATTTCATCTGACTTGTCGATGGAAATCAAATAAAGCCAAGACCCCTTCAGATGAAAAAAAAAAAAAAAAAAAAAAAAAAGAAAAGACTACGTTGGGATTGAGGCCAATTATAGGTGGTTCTATCTTTCCCGTGGTGGAATATGTCACAAGTGGTGATGGAATGAACGTCTTAAGGTCAGACTCAGTTGCCGAAACAAATACTAAATCTTATCTACCACTAAAAATATTCTGTGTGTAGCCAGGCAAACTAACAGACAGCAAGAAATCAATGATATCGACCAACGTGGCTTGGTTATCCTTCCTTATACCAAGGGATTTTCCGAGAGAGTCATAAAAGTTCTTTGAGGTTTAAACATCGAGGTCCCCCATAGGCCTATCCGTTCTATCTCGAGCATACTTAAAAAGCCAAAAGACAAGATCGAGAAAGGGTCTTCCAGAGGAATCGTGTATCAAATCAAATGGAAAGGTTGTCATTTTGTTTACGTTGGTCAGACATCGCTCTCACTAAAAACACGCCTAAAAAACACACAAAGGCCATACCAACGTTGGATGAAAACTCTTTGTTGGCCAAACACCATATGCTTCACAGTCACCGAATAGATTTAGAGAATGTTGAAATTGTTGACAGGTTATCGGTGTGGCGACAAAGATCGATTCTTAAAGCTTGGCATTCCCTGCGAGATATAAACGCTATAAACGAACACATAACACTACCAAACACATAAGACTATTGTTACATTTAAAAATTCCTTCGAGATTTATTTTTATCACACATCGTGAACACATACTAAGCAGGACGCCGTCAGACATTTCCATTTTTATCTTTGCTGAAGAAGGCAACAGTAATAAACCGAAACGTCCAAAACTATACAGTTTTTAGTCAGTGTCAACTTTTTCTTTACTCTTTTTGACCAATCTTTTAAACTTCCGCCATTCCTGACCATTTCTTTCTAATCCTTTTCACAGGCAAAATGGCTTGCTGCTTATAATTCTCTTCTTTATTTCTCCTGTAATTCAATCAGAAAAGTGGCAAGAGTTAATTTTAACAATGCTCTTCGTCGTCTTCATTTAATTTCATCAGTCTGATCAAGACGTCATGTGATCTCTTGGTCAGATTTGATCGAGATAAAATTTCTTCGGAAAAAAATAATACTTTGGGAAAAAGCCAACACGAGAGATTAAGGACCTGAACCGTAGATTTTTTAGCTCCCACTTTCAACCAATTCACTTCCAAGATCTCATAAGTGTTTCTCCTTGGCATACAATTCTTTTGATGGTAATGGATCAACGGATGATTTATATTTTGCTCTATGTTAATCACTTTGCTAAATACAGTATTGATTTGGTAAGGTGAAATTCAGTACTAATCACTCGTGGGAGTGAAAGGTTAATCCACCAAAGTGAGAGATGAATTTTCTCTAACAAACGAACGTAGCTATCTTTCCAATGCTGATGCTCGTGTCAGAATTGATTTCCGAAAGTCATATTGATGCTAGCTGTATCATGTCCTCCACAGCACCAACGAAATAACAAGTTTAAGTTCATGGTCGGAATTTCCAAATTTCCGCGATAATGGACGACTTCCAGGGATCGACAAAAATTTTTAAAACAAGACTCCGGAAACATTCTGTCCTATTCGATATTTGAGTGGAATTTCCGGAATTTGTTATTGAATGGAACTATTTTGCAATTTGTGAAGCCAAGAAAAAAAACCCGGATTTCATTACAACTTGCCTTTGAGTTATAGCCAAAAAAAAAAAAAAAACTTCATTTTGTTTCAACAAGCGACTTCGGACTATACGGTTACAATTGCTCGTGCTAAAAAAAACCTTATCAGATACAAATTACGAAGGAAAGAAAATGCATAGGAATCGAAAGCAACATGATATCTGTGGAAAAATTACAAGACAAAGATGGTTACAAATTCGCGCCTTACCCTCATGGGGAACAAGAAGTATTTGACACCCATAATTGTCAAACTGGAAGAACTCGGTGCGCAAACTCACAACTTAACTTCACCTCTTTGATCTTATACAAGTTAAAAAACAACTGTTCTCACGAAATTTCCCATCTGGCGTTAGCCCTTCGCTAAGCTACTTGATGAAATACTTGTGAAAACATGGCCAGTGCTTGTCATCCACAGTCAAGAGTTTGTAACCCACAATTGCAAATAAGATTTGTAAGTGTCAACTTTGACTGATGAAACGGTTCGATTGCTCCTGATTATCTCAGTAACGTACTGTATCAGAAGTATATTGCTATGTAATATGGAGAATTATCGGTGCAGTTGACGAACCAATATTTACCACTTTTGGGCCCCGGAACAATTATGTAATGACTACTCTATAATTTTGCTCGATTCCAGGTATAAAGAGCGCTCCCGACATCTCGCTTGCTCGTTTAGCTGGTAATAGGACTTAACTAGTATTTGGAAGGCACAAGTTGAGTCGAACTTCGTTTGTGCAATTGTTGTAGTTGCCGCTCACCAGTGAGGGTAATCTTTTTCTTCTATTGCAATAGCATGTTAGCACATGTTTAACATTTATCAGATAAAGATGTTAACGGTTGTTAGATACTTCCTGTTGAACAGGAAATGCCGAAACAAGTCGATATTCAGATAATTTTGAAAGACTAGCTGGTTTCTTAACACTAGCCGAACCGACGCCAAATTATATTCCGGTAATATTATAAACGTACAAGTTCTCGTAAACTCCGCAAAAGACTGACGAAAGACCAACTATAAAACAAAGGTGCGTCTTGTTACGACCCTTTGTCGGAAATTCGCAACAACATAGAAGTATAAGTTCTATTTTAATCAAGTGGTAACGGAAGTTCTCAGCTTTCATGAACTGAAACAGAAAAGGTTTATCTCCTTTTGCCTCCTTCGCCTATATCATAAAAGAAAATTCACGCGGTTTTTTTGTCAGTTTTTGGACGGAGCACGAAGGAGGCGTGCGGTAAGAGAAAGGGAATAAGTAAACTTGGTGAACTTAGTAGTAAGTTAAGTCCCATCAGTCTTCGCCATTATACTTTTTATGAAGATTTTTGATTTTTGATTTTGTTTAAGTTGTCAAATTATATTAACATTTTTATTATTAGTATTATAATTTTATTTATTTAGTTATTTATTACATTTTTCTGCAGCTTTTATGAATAACACTGCAAACGAAACCCGAAGAATTACAATGAGGAAAGACGAACGAAAACGACAAGAAATAGGTATGTAACATCTGGATGTTGGGTGTAAATTTTACAGTGTGCAGAAATTTACGAGCTAAGATCTAATGCTTACCTTTTTCAAACATGGGACTGTAAGTGATGTAGTCATTTCAGTTGTACCACCTGTTTAAGTCATGGGGTTTATATGCGCCACAAGCATGAGGCTCCGTAATATTCTTATGACTCCCCGCCCCCCTTAGTTGGCAGTTCATTGGAAGAGAATTATCTTGGAAAATCATGATATCCCTTCCCCCTTCTACCCCTTCTCCCCTTCCCCCTTCCCCTTCCCCTTCCCCTTCCCCTTCCCCTTCCCCCTTCCCCTTCCCCTCCCCCTTCCCCTTCCCCTTCCCCTTCCCCCTCCCCTTCCCCTTCCCCTTCCCACCCCCTCGTTCGCCACCAATCATAGGTTTTTGCGGCCTTTTGTTGTCATTATTTCATCGTATCATATTTGTAGTTTTCTCCCCAATCTCTTGCTTATTTCAGTCTGTAACTTGGCATTATAACATATCATAGCTGGAGTGACTTCAGAACACATAATGACTTCTCTCCTTCAGGTTCTGCTCTGCTGTTTCTGGCACTTTTTGTGACTTTCGAAATTTTACCATCAACGCGTGCAGCCCCAATAAATTCCCGAAAGAACACTACTGTCCACTCGAAAGAAGCAGAGGAAGAAGTAATACCAGAAGAGGTGACATATAACAGGACATCCGAGAAATGTAAGTAAGATTCGTTATTCTCGTACGTGTATTGACACCCCTTGCTCATTTTCATGTATTATTATTATTATTATTATCATTAATATTATTATTATTATTTCTCCTTATTATTTCTAACAGCTAAAAACTGTGCTGAGCTGTACAAATCCGGTCAAAGGATTAGCGGTGTTTACACAATCGACCCAGATGGTTCAGGTGCCTTTAACGTATCTTGTGACCAAACTACTTCGGGCGGGGGATGGACAGTCTTTCAGAAGAGAATGGATGGCTCTGTTGATTTCAACCGCACCTGGGATGACTACAAATATGGCTTCGGTAACTTTATCGGTGAATTTTGGCTCGGAATGGACAAAATAAACCGCCTGACACGAAACAAGACAAACAACATGCTTCGAGTAGATCTGGGAATAAAAAATGGCAAAACTGTTCACGCTGAGTATGACTGGTTTGGGATCGGCAACGAAACGGCTAAGTACCGGCTGTTCATTGGCAATACGACTAGTTCGTAAACCCTTCTTTATCTTTCATCGTTTGGATTTATCTATAATTTTCTTCATCCGTTGAGAGCCCTGTCTCCCTCCCTCCTTCCCTTCCTCACCTTTCACATGTAACACAAGAATAATGGTTTGCTCCTCTAAGCGTCTGATTTATTCCACTCTCGCTGGGTTGAGTCCAAGCTCCTCTGTTGAAAATGGTACTTTGCTTTGGAGTCCGCAATTCAATGATAATACAGTTACTGAACTCAGCTCCAGAAAAATATCGTAGTTGATTTACTCTCTGACTTGCCCGCTATTAACAAAATCACGATATTTTGCCCACCTCTTTGAATAATAGTTTATTAATTATCGTCATCTGCCATTGAAAACTTATGACGTTTGTGTAAGGAGAAATCTTTTTAATCGAAGCAGCATGTAGCTACTGTTTAAATTGAGTTTTGTTCTGCCTGTGTTTTTGTTCGCTTTGGTTTTTGTTTGGTGTTTGTTCGTTTGTTTGTTTTGCCACAAACACCAAGCTTGACACTTCCAAGGTGTCAGCACGATCCTAATGCTGATTCATTTCTTTTTTGGTTTGTTTTGGAACAGGTGAGACTGTGATCAATGATTCCCTCGGTCGTCATAGGGATTTCTCTTTTGGTACCTGGGACAGAGATCCTCATAATTGTGATGAAAAGAGAGGCGGAGGCTGGTGGTATACCGATGCACATTGTGCTGTTTGGTCAAATCTCAACGGGCTTTACTTTGATAATAAAACCTCGCGCGCAATCTATTGGAGTAGGTTAGGTACCATACCAGAGGAAAACATTCCCAAATCAGCAGAAATGAAAATTAGACCAGTGGACTTCGTTTCTTCTTTTTAGCGGTATATAGACTGAAAACCTTTATTTTTTCTTTTTCGTTTCTGAATGGTATTGTAGAGCATTCATAGGTCAAAGGATACCTTTCATTGGTCTAATTCAACTATCCGTCATTCATTGATCAAGAAAATATGTTTTCAATACAATATTTGAGATTAGTTTTTTTTTGTTTTTGTTTGTTTTTTTGTTAAAGTTTACCTAGAAAAGTACAACAGACAACAAGTTTGAGTAATAGGAGATGCCCATTCTAGTATAAAATAGAAAAATTATTTACCTGAGTGTTGATGAAGGTGGTGGATATGTAAATACACTTCGGCAAGTAATCGCTGACTATTGATGTTTTGACTTCAAAACACACGGCTTCTTTACAAATGTCGTACATTGCCGAATTTATTAGAGCAAGCACTGCCCAATATCCTCCATAAGGGCGCCAGGTCTTAGGTCTAGGTCACACCTATGATTTTCTATTTGAAAACGCATGCCTTTTAGGGTACGTCCACCTATTTTAAACATTAATACAACTAAAACTTCTGATAGAAATGTAGATTTTGCTCTAAAAGTGGAGCTTAAGGAAAAGGTTCTGTTTCTTGACACGACAATAAACGGAGGCCTTTGAAGAAAAAGATCTTTTTATCACCACTTTCGAGCGTATTTGTATAGACAATAGACATAAAAGCATAAAAAAATCCAAACATCCAAAGTGAAAGAAAAAAAAAGTTATTTAGACAGCTAAACAATGTACTGTAACGCTTGTGTGTTGGACAGGCTCTCTTACTCTTACGTGTAGACGAAAGTAAATACTCGTTCAGAAGTTACTTTCGTCCGGTCGGGCCTTGCAAGCCCCTGCGAGATACCTCCCCAAAATCAAAGATCCAACCAAGAGTAAAGCCAATGGAGACGGCAGGGTTTGATCGAATAATTACGGACAGCCACAATGATTGGATTTTGTCTCACACCCAAACTGTCCCTTCATCCTACTGTGATTGTGATTGGCTGATTAGTGATCGCGTGCTTGAATGTATTCCACTGAGTAAATACCATCTTAAAGTGTTTCCCTCACAACAAGACATGAAGTGCAGTATTTGCATGCTCCGTGGGGGAGGGGGTGGTACATAAGCCAATTTTTCCTGGGTATGTGCCGCTGGCCTCCCACAACCCCTCGCCTATACTCCAAAATTAAGTTCGCTTGTATTTTAGTCCATTTTTTTCAATGTATTACTCAGTGATTTTTAAAAGTGGACTAGTAGTTTAAAGAACTATCAAGACGACACTTGCATCTGCCCAATCGATAAAGTAGTTTGTTCGAGAAGAAAACAGTGGATCGAATTATGATAATATCAGATTAGCTAAGTAGAAACGTCATAGACTGAGCCATATTTTATCAAATTTAATGAAATATATCTTAGCTAGTTTGTATCAGAAATGTTTGATTCTTCGCAGACTTTATAAGGAGTGTTTAAAAAAATTATAAACATGAACAACTTTAATTTCAACGTGAACAACTTTAATTTCAGAAATGAATATTTTCTTCAATTAATTCAGAAAGACTTACAATTGCAATGCATTTATACCCTAAGCTGCTGTTTATACATGTTTTTTCTTACCTTACAGTTACTACTTTTTCTAGTGATTTTTAGACATTGCTATTTCAGTGCTATCGATAAGGCCATTTCCGATTATATCGTTAAAAAAATAATCTACGATCGATATGTGACTTTTATATCGTGAACAAATAAAGACTATCTGATACATTACTTCTTTTTTTATTTAGATAGCTTGCGATTGTGTTGCCATATTAAACCCGGCAGATCGCAGAACTTCTCTTATTCTCGAGGATTTCCAAGCCTACACTGGTTTCTAATTTTGATTTTGGCCAATGAAGCTTTTTATGGGTGATCTGAAAAACATGTAAAGGTGTAATTTGGACACAGGATTTCATCACAACTTCTCAGTCTGCCATGATTCATTGTTCGTTGCAGCATCTCGACCGAGATAGCTCCTTTTAAATACTTTTTAATGTAAAACTGAATCATGTAAACGGCATCATTCGTTATTTGTTTCACATATGGTACCGACAAAAAGAAAAAAACAACAGCAACAACAACAAATATGTCCAAAACTATGATAGATATTCGGAAACGGAAAAGTTATCATTAATCTCTTCATAATTTTTAAAGGATAAAAAAGGTAAAAACAGAAAAAAGAGAATTTGCTTACTCAGTTTACCCTTAATCAGCGTAACCCTCTTAAAATTGTCTTTATTGTCATTATTATTATCAATATTATTGATAATTTTCTGCGCACTGTTCCTAGAATTTAGGAAACTGCTGATTTATCAAAGCGAACGATGAAGAAGTCTAAAATGTCTTTCTCAAAGCCACAAAGTTGTTTTCCTTAGTGATGAAAACTTACTTGGACTTGAGCAAAACCACAAATCATTTCATAGTTTAGCAAAGTGAAAGTTGAAATACCGCCTTCCTTTTTTTTTCTTTTTCGTTCAATCGCAGATCGAGACAAGTCCTTAACACGCATACACGACGTTTTGACTTTGACACAAGCACGACGTTCTGACTGATGAGCACCTTGCATGGTACAAGGGAAAAAGAAGAGATGTTTATGCCCTGCAAGATCAGTACTGATACTGTGTATAATACGCTCAAAACGCGTACAAAACATGCACGCAGCATTCGAATTTACGAACATTGATGAGTGAAACCTCATCGAGAAATATGCTATATCAACTGAGCTCTCAACTGTTAAACGAGAGAAGCATAAACGCAAATCCCATCGTGTATGTGGACGTGATCGTAAACCATGGAGAATACCAATACAAAGTTTGAAAAGTTTAGGGAACAAGAGCAGAAAGGTTAGAGAATTTGTCTATACACGTATTCTTTCATGTATACGCATATTATCTACATTGCACTGCTATGTAAATGCTAAAAAAAAAAACTATTAAATAAAACGACGTTTAAGTTTAACTGTCGTGAAAGAATTCGACGAAGTATAAGAAAGATGAAATATCATGGCAGTCGATATTTAACATTGTTGTCTTGTAACGAACTGATGTGTTCTTGCAAGAGTAAAGCTTACGTCGCGAATTATTGCAACTATAAATTAAGTAGAGGCAGAAAAAAATTCCTGGCCCTACGATACATGTTGGCCTAATAAAACAATAGCAGTTCCATATAGTCAAGGTAACAATATGTTGCAATGGCTTTGTGCTCTTTGATTTACAATAACACAGGGGGTCAGCTTTGCAAATGATCATACACAGATAATGAATATTGGAAATCAGCTCTATTCACGTTTGTCATGGTTAGCCAGACGGCCGTTTTTAATGCAGTCAGAATTGCCAACAGCATTGTGTTTGATACTGATTAACAGAGTGAACGAAACCACAAATATATAATTAAAAGCTATCTCGGCCCGAAATCTTTTGTTAACCAAGAAAAAAAAAAAAAAACAAGAAGACAGCCTATTTGGCACATGACTCACCCCGCTATGACCCCTTAATAAAAATAAATAAATAAATGTGTTTACCATCTCTTACGACGCCTCAAGTTAACCCCAGCATAACGTATGAGAGTGGCGTTGAGTTCTAAATGGAAGCTTAAATAGTTTGCCGTCAGGGTTTCCTTTCTTGGACCACGCAAATCTTGATGATTACACTGGCGTTGGTATTTTGCCGAGGACAGTTTGTTGTTGTTGCTGTAGCACACAGTTTTAAAACGCACATGCTGTGCTATTGTTCTGCTCATTAAATCTTTTGTTTTGCTTCTTCCTCGTTGTTGTCGCCGTCGTGGTCTGCTAAAGGTTTCTATTTATAGATGTACCGAGCCGCGAAGCTCGAATGATTTTATTCATGTTTCGGGTCAGGTGGTTTATCTTGTCCAATCTGAGCCAAAATTCACCGACCAAGTTACTGATGCCGCATTTGTAGTCATTCCAGGTGTAATGAAAACCAACGGAGCCATCCACTCTTTTCCGGATCACTGTCTATCCCCCACCAGCTATAGTTTGGTCACAATATACATTAAAGGCGCCCGAACCATCTGGGTCGATTGTGTAAACTCCGCTGACCCTGGAACAGTCTGCCTGCAAGCGTCAGAGACATCGATAACCTTACTTATTGGTTTTCAAGCAAAAGATAAA